CTACTACACTAATATAGGATAACTAAAGATTGAAAAATTCAAGACTTATCTACCACGACAGAAATTAATTTACAACCCTCAGCGTTCCCTGGCTAAGTCATCTGCAGCCATGGTACAACGATGGAATATTGCGTTATCCGCCTATTCCTACGACATCCATAATCGCAGTGCGCGGTCCATTCTACATGCAGACTATCTTTCACGCTATGCCATTTCAAAGGAGGCTTCTACGGGTGATTGTCTACTCACTCAACCGCTCTCGGTAAGCCGATCTGATCTAGCTCGCGAGACCAGGAAATATTACCACGCTATCATTTCCTGTGTCCGTCGAGGTTGGCGAGGTGATATCAAGCGGTGACTTCCGGAATTCTATAAACGTCGTGAGGAAATTTCTGGGACGTGTGATGGTGTTTTGTGCTACAACGATCGCATTATCGTATCTCCGACATTACGTACTGCTGTTCCCAATAACTCACATTCCGGTCATCTCGGCATTGAAAAAATGAAATCTCTTGCTCGTCTCACATGTTGGTGGCCTGAATTGAATCAGTATCTGAATAGTGTTGCTAAATCCTGTGCTGAATGTGTGCTCAAAACTCACAGACAGATTTCGAAATGGACTCCGTGGCCAGTATCATCCGAGTCATGGCAAATAATACATGTGGATTACTGTGGTCCATTCTTTAACAAGTATTACGCATTGGTGATCGTCGATTCGTATTTCCGTTGGCCAGTAGTGTACTTAACCACAACTCCCAGTTCAGAATTTACTATTCGAGCACTCAGGAAAACGTTCAGCAGAGAAGGTGTCCCGCATGCTATCGTGACTGACAATGGAAGTCATTTCACTGCCAAGAAAGTTACTGATTGGTTGAACTCTGTGAGTTGTCGGCATGTTCTCACTCCACCCCAACATCCGCAATCCAATTACGCAGCTGAAAACTTTGCACGCACGCTAAAGAGTGCCATTGCTTCTTTGATTCCCAGTACATTCGACGAACTGGACAGAGGCGTTGATAACTTTCTGATGCAATACCGTAACGCAGTACATTCAACTACGGGGCACAGTCCAGCAAAGCTGTTTAAGAGTCGAGTACTTCGAACAAATCTTCTACGCTTGGAGTCTGCGGAAGTCGTGTATCATCATGGTAACGATTTACGACCCTCCAGGGGCATTGTACTGGACAATATGGGACAAAGAGTATGTCGCATATTGGATCTAGATGATGGTACTGTGCATCGCAGACATGTAGACCAAGTAACTTGTAATTTGCCCAATCCTGATACTAGTTGTGAACCTACTAATCCTTTTATTTCGGAGCTTTTCCAGAGGAATTACATCCCAGTACAAATGTCGAAAACAACACAGAAGAACCCAGAAGATCTGAACGATTACTCAACAAAGCCCGCCGTGATTACAAAAGGCCGGAGCTCCATTCAAGCTGCGGCGGATGTGGTGGTTGCTCATGAACTATGAACTATTTTGTTTTATTGAACACGATATCCTTGTATATTTCTAATTTCCGCCTACTACAGTTCCATTCTGCCTCTGAGTTGACTTCTGATTTCGTTTCGAGTCCTAGTTCTGGGTCGGACTACTAGTGCGCGGAATCCGATGCGTATGCGAAATACTAGTTTGAACCACTCGCAACATATAAGCGGCGTCGGGAACATTAAAGAGTGGGTGTAGGCGTCCCGTGGGTATCACATGTGGTGAGACGATTGATGAGCTTGTGTTATGGTTGAAAGGGAAAGAAATGGAGTGGGTGGGGGTGGTGCGACGTGTTTCAGGCCTCTAGATCATCGTATTAGATTTCAACGTCCTACCTCAGTAGTATGGTAGCCCAACGTTGCAGTCGGCTGGAGAGTATGCTGAGATATCTTTCTTCGACCCGAATATGGACAGTAAAAGATTGCGGTCCGTCAGAAGCGTGAAACGTCTGCCGTACAAAAACTAGTGGAACTTTTTCACAGCGAGCACGATGGCCAGCGCCTCCTTCTCCATTTGTCCATAGTTCTTCTCAGCTGCCGATAGCGTGCGAGATGCATGAGCAATCGCCTTGGCGGATCCATCTGGGAACGTGTGGGAGAGTACGCCAAAATGGGATGCATCGGCGGCGACTGTGATTGGTAGGCTTGGGTCGTAATGGGTCACCAGTGGTTTCGAAGCTAGC